CTCCTGCCACACAGCCGCCTGCCAATCAGTCAGGCTTTTTCATGACTCCCCAGGGTGCCCCACACTTCCAGCACCTGCACCCTGGTTCCAAACAACCTGTGGGTAACTTCAAAGTCAACGTGAGCCTCACTCGCCCCTGGAGCAGGAGCTGGTTCCCCAGGGGACAGTGGGACTGTGGGTGGTTGCTCCTGGCTGGCCAGCCACAGAGCTGCTCTTAGACCCTCTGGGCTCATCCTATGGGAGTCAGGCTCACATTGACTTTGAAATCACCCTTGGAGACCAGGAACTCTGACCAACCAGGCTGAAAGCGTCCCATGGGCCATCACCAACCCCAGTGTGGCCTGCTCCTGCCCCTCTTTGCTAGACCTGGGTTTTGCTGGACATTCACCCAGGTCATGAGCACACATGAGCAGCACCTCAGATGTCCAAGAAGTAGGTCGGGTAAGCCTGTCGGACAGAGCTGACCCAGGCAGCCGCAGCTCCATGTGAAGCACAGGGACAAGGAGGCTCCAGGAGGCTGCTGAGGTCAGGGAAGGACTCCAGGTGATGCGGCGTCTGAGCTGGACAGGAGGCAGCGGGCGATGGCATGTGAGGGCCCGGGCATGATCTAGCTGGGCTGGATGATGGGTAAGGCCCCCACTTCCAGGCGCTGCTCAGACAGGAGCAGCAAACTGAGAAGCCAGGAGACCAAGGCAGAGGTGGGGACAGTGTCTGAGGGCAAGATGGGGATCTGGCTGGACAAGCAGCTGGGCTGAGGGACAGCAGAGGACAGGGAGAGGAAGGGAGCGCCCACACTGCCGACCTGGCGCTCTGTGAGGAAGGGATCTTTCCTTGGAGGAAAGGAGGTCAAGTTCAACCTGTGGCAAGCTGAGTTTGAGGAGCTGCAGGAGGACGGGGTGAGCCCAGGTGTCACGAGGACACACCACTCCTCTCGAGCAGCTCTCAGCAGACCGAGGCCCACGGGCCCGATCCAGCCCTGGCCTGCTTTCGTGCTGCCCCAGAGCAAGGAACTTTCTTTAAATTCTTAAGTGGATAAAGAATTAAAATCTATACCCATTAGCTATCATCAAAAATCTATTATCAAAAATCTTAGCCAGTTGGGGCAGTATAGTAAGACTCCACCTCTACAAAAAATAAGGATTTGGCAGGGAATGGTGGCATGCATCTGTGATCCCAGCCACTCCGGAAGCTGAGACGGGAGAATCGCTGGAACTCGGGAGGCAGAGGCTGCAGTGAGCCGAGATCGTGTCATTGCACTCCAGCCTGGAAAACAGAGCGAGACTCCGTCTCCAAAGCAAACAAACAAAACAAAACACACCCAGAAAGTACCAAGTGTTGGTAGGGATGTGGAGACGTTAGAGCCTCATGTGCTGGAGGGAATGTACAGTGGGCAGTCACTGTGGAAAACCACGGGGTGATCCCTCAAAAGGTTCAACGGAGGTCTGCCATATGACCCAGCAACTCCGCTTCTCCATCTGTTGTCAAAAGAATTGAAAGCAGAGTCTCACTGAGATATTGTACCCCCACGTCCACAGCAGCATCACTGACAACAGCCAAAGGGTGGAAGCCACCTCAGTGGCCACTGGTCTATGCAAATCCATATGGAATATTATTGACCCATAAATATAGAAGAACCTTGAGGACATCCCCATCAGTGTAAGAAGCCAGTCCACAAAAAGACAAATGCTATAGGATTCCACTTACATGAAGTCCCCAGAGCAGTCAAATCTGTACAGACAGAGTGGACGGTGGGTGTCAGGGGCTAGGGGAAGGGTCATGGGGAGTTGGTGTTTAATCGGAACAGACTTTCAGTCTGGGAAGTGAGAAACTTCTGGAGAAGGATGGCGGTGATGATTGCACAACCGTGTGAATATACATGATTATCACTGAACTGCACACTCACAGATGGCTAAGAAGGTTCACTTTATGTCACGTGTATTGAACCACAATCCAAAAATCCAGAGCATTTTGTGACAGTGAGTGTGACCTGGACTTCACGTTTCTGTGACCAGGAAGCAGGTTTGGCTGTCATCTCCTCCCTGTGCATGCCTGCATTTGCTCCACAAGGCAGAGAACTCCTGGCAGAGACCTGTGACCAGCAAGGCTGAATATACTTACCACATGGTCCTTTGCAGAAAGTTTGCCTACCCCTGCTCAAGAGCTCAGGGATGAAGAACTGGAGGTAGGCAGAGCCCCGGCGGGGTGCCAGGGTGCCCAGGCAAAGTCCTCATGAGGCCGCCTGCTTATGTTCAAAGGTCTTCTAACTGCTTTATTAACATACAGTTCATATTCCATGGATTTAAAGTGTACATTTCAATGGTTTTGTGTGTGTATGTGTTGTAGAGTGGTGCAGCCAACAGGACAGGCCATGCTAGAACATTCTCAGCATCTGGGAAAAAACCGTGTACCTTTTAGTGGCCACCCTCATCCCTCTGCTGTTACTCCCCAGCCCATGGCCACCGTGACTTTCCTCTCTGCTTCTGTGAATGTATCCATTCTGGACATTTCACAGAGTCACACACCACGTGGTCTTCAGTGTCTGGCTTCGTTCACTCGGCCTGACGTTCTCAAGGCTTACCCACATCATGGTGTGAAATGGCTTCATCTCTTTTTGGGGCTGAATAATCTCGCATTATGCTAGACCACATTTTGCTTATCTACTCATCTGTTGATGGATATGTGGCTATTTCGAATCGTGCTGCTGGAAAACTCACGTGGGCACCGCCATGCTTACCAAGGCTGAGCTCTCAGGATGGAGTGAGAGGCCGAGTTCTAGAGAAGACGGCCCTGATAGTGTGGGGACTCACCAGTCCAGGAGAGGGTGTGCTTCCGAAATAAGGCGGGTGCTGCAGCATCAAATGCTGCACAACCCGTGAAGCCAAGGAATGAAGCAGGCAGGGAGACTCTCCGTCACAGGGAGAGACACAGGCCCCGAGGAAACTCTTATTTCTAAGCCAGGCGTTAGGGGTAGACTGGCTTTCCGCAGTGGTGGAGGACCACAACGGGAAGAGGATGAAGATGGAGAGAGTTGTAGGCGGTAGCGGGGGCTGGCCTGGCCGTGGCCAGCAGACACAGCTGGGTGCAGGGCTGTGCCCTGGTGCTGAGAGGCTTGAGTTTTAGGACAAGGAGTTCCGGGGTGATCTGAAGAGGCCTTGCAGGTCCCGCTCCACAGATCTTACCAGCTGCGGACACTCGGGCGAAGACCAAGTAAAAAGCCACCCAGCCGCTGTACGCCTCTCCCCTGCTGACGTCAAGGGTGTATACAGCCACACCCAGAGCAGCAGAAGGCCCACCCACCAACCCACAGAATCCCACCACTAAAATCCTGGTGTCTCCTTACACAGCAACAGATAACCGAGGGGCTCCCAGCCTGGGAGGCCGGGTGGAAGTCCACTAGGGATTTCCAAATTTACAGGACCCCAGGATTGTTCCCCGATCGTTGTCTTGCAGCCTTGACAAGAGGAAAGAGGGAAGCAGCGGGAGTGCAGGACGCTCCATGCCAGGCTGTGATTTGCCAAGTGACCGGGAAGAATGGGGCCTCACGCCAGGGACAGAGCAGAGGTGAGCCGGCCTCTGCCCTGGTTGGAGAACTTGGATTCAGACACAGGGCCCTGATTTCTGCGTGGATCACTCCACTGGGCGGAGGAGTGACTGTGGACACTTCCAGGGTTCTCTCCAAGTCGTCTTCCTCATCTGCCAAATAGAGACTGCTGCCCACGTGCTCCCCGGTAGGTGGACACTCTTCGGGACACTCTCAGGGCAGGAAGGCCAGAGGTGCTGGGGCACAGGTGTGCTAGGAGCCCAGGTGGGCCAGCCCAGCAGAATCCTGCAGGGTAATGGGAGCAGGCAGGGACCCCGAGGCTGGCAGTAAACACTTGATTTCTGCCCCCAGGCTCCCAGGAGGGGTCCTGGGCCTCACCTCCTCCAGCCAGAACAGGAAAGCAGCTCCAGGCAGCTGGGTCCACAGAAAGCTCCATTCCCTGAGGTCTCAGAGGCAGTGGCTCAGGAGCATCTGGTCACCTTTGGAAAAACCGGCTTGGCAAAGGCTCCCCCGAGGGCACGCCTTTCCCGGACAGTGAGACAGAGCCAAAACTCTTCCGTTAACACTGCATTTTTCGCATTTCCGCAGTGCCTGCCCTGTCGGAGCCTACCACTTCCTCGCATCTCTTAGGGAGCAGCTCTCGACGTCCCACCTCCCCTGGAAGGGTGCTGCTCCCAGAGACCTTCCCACCAATCTCAGTGCCCTCAGGGGAGAGGTGGGTGAAGAAAAACAGCCTGGGTCACGGAAAGAGGAATGAGGGCTGTGAGATTCCGGAGGCACCGACGCGAAGCGCGACGGAGAGCTGGAGGGCAGGACGGGGTGGAGGAGGGGGATACTGGATATGGAGGGAGTCACGCAGGGGGCGGGCGTGGGCCTGACCGCCGTCAGGGCACAAGGCGATCTGGTGCAAACCTCCAAGCCCCCTGGCTAAGGTGCCTCCCAGAGCCCTCAGGCCTGGGGTGCACGGAAACCACAGGCAGGGTGCGCGTGGAGAGACGGGGAAAGCGGGGCGGGTTGGGGTAGGCGCCCCGGGAATCCGAACCTCCCACCCGCCTCCGTCTCGACCACTCTTAAGCCCCGCCCCGCCCGAAGTAAGGCGCAGTTCACCCCCATCCCCAGTAGACTAACGCACAGGTGGTGGCGCGCTCGGGACACAGGTGTGCTTGGGGGCAGCGCGCACAGCGCAGTCACGGGGGCGAGGAGCGGGGCGGGGCCGAGCGGGCGCCCAGCTTTGTTAGCCCGTGCTCCCCGCGAGACACGCGCCGCGCGTACGCGCTTCCTCCTTGGGGCCGGCCGTGGGGCCCCGCCCTGCGCGATTGGCCAAACGGGTGGCCCACGATTGGCTGAGACCATGGCCCCCGCCTCCTCGGCCCCAGGAGGGCGGGGCGCGGGTGTGAGCTGCGCGACGCGTGCTGCCCTCGGGGGTCTAGCGCGCCTCAGGTACAGCGGAGCTGTCGCCAGGGCCACGCCTTCCCTCCCACAGAGCGCGCTGCGCGTGCGGAGAGCTGGCGGCTATTGGGACTTGCAGGCTGAGCGCGGGGGTAGGGTGGGGGTACGGGAAGGTGCCTGCACCTGCATGCCTTGATTTGGGGGCGCACCGAGGACCTGCCGGGAGCAGGCGGTGCACCGGGGACCCGCAGATTTCACCAGTTGAGCGCGCTGGGGATCTGTGGCCTGCGCCCGGGGGATGGGCTAGGGGAACACGCGCACGCTTTGGGTTTTACAGACTGTGATCGCGCGAGGGGGAGGGCGAAGCGTGGCAGGAGGGCGAGGCGAAGGAAGGAGGGCGTGAGAAAGGCGGTGGCCCCGGCGCGGAGGAGGGTTATCTATACATTTAAAAACGAGCCGCCTGCGCCGCGCCTGCGGAGACTGGGGAGAGTCCAGCTGCACGCGCGGGACACGAGCGTCCCACGCTCCTTGACGCGTACAGCCCGCCACCACTAGGCCTCTTGTCCTCGGACTCCAGACGACCTAGGACGCGTGCCCCGGGACGTTGCTCGGCGGCGCTGTGCCAGAAGCCCCCTGGGGACGCCACTGTTTTCACCACCGCCTCCGGTTCCTCCGCCTGCACCTTCCTGCGGCGCGCCGGGACCCGGAGCGGTCGGGTGGATGCGGGCGCGATGGACGGCGGCGCACTGCCCGGGCCCGCGCCCCCTGCGCCCCGCATCCCTGTCGGCTGCGCCGCCCGGCGGAGACCCGCCTCCCCGGAACTGTTGCGCTGCAGCCGGCGGCGGCGCCCCGCCAACGCGGAGACCGGGGGCGGCGCGGCAGCCGTGGCGCGGCGCAATGAGCGCGAGCGCAACCGCGTGAAGCTGGTGAACTTGGGCTTCCAGGCGCTGCGGCAGCACGTGCCGCACGGCGGCGCCAGCAAGAAGCTGAGCAAGGTGGAGACGCTGCGCTCGGCCGTGGAGTACATCCGCGCGCTGCAGCGCCTGCTGGCCGAGCATGACGCGGTGCGCAACGCTCTGGCCGGAGGGCTGCTGGCGCCGGCCGTGCGGCCGTCTGCGCCCCGCGGACCGCCTGGGCCTGCCTCAGTGGCCGCCTCGCCCTCCCGCGCGTCTTCGTCCCCGGGCCGCGGGGGCAGCTCGGAGCCCGGCTCCCCGCGTTCCGCCTACTCGTCGGACGACAGCGGCTGCGAGGGCGCGCTGAGCCCCGCGGAGCGGGAGCTGCTCGACTTCTCCAGCTGGCTAGGGGGCTACTGAGCGCCCTCGACCTGGGAGGTAACGGCCGGGCGGCGGGGAGTTGGGAGGGCCGGGGCCGGGGTGCAGGGACCGGGTGGGGCGGGGTGGGCAGGCCCGGCGGGTCGCGTCCCCGAGAGCCCGGGGAGCCGAGCGCCAGGCCCGAGCGAGGGCTTCGGTTTCGCTCACTCTTCGTTTTCCCCAGCCTTTTTCAAGCCTGTGCAAGACCGGCGTTTGTTTGTCCGGGATTGCAAAACTTCCCCTCGCGGCCCCGCCGCCGCCGAGGGAGGGGAGGTGAGGGGAGGGGAGCGGCCGTCGGGCGGTTGAGGTCTCGAATGCTGGCGGTTCTCGGGGCAGATTGGGGTGCTGGGGGCGGGGTGACTTTGCATTGCAAATCGCGCTCCGGGCCCGGGGCGGCAGAAATGAGTCGGCGGGCGCGGCGGGCGCGGAGCCCTGACTCACCGCGGCTCCGAGTGCCCGCCCCGCCCCCGCCCTGTCTCAGACCGAGCCGCGGCACCCACGGACTCAGGACTCCAAAGCCGACCGAACAAACGAAACTGCCGATTTCGCTGGGGGGAGGTGGGGGCGGGGCCGGCTCGGGCGGGCGGGGTCTGTCCCGGTCGGCGCCCGCGTTGACGCGCGTTCGGTTCCCCACCTCCCCTTGCAGCCTCAGCCCTGGAAGCCCAGCGAGCGACCGGCGCGCTCATCGCCCAGGAGCCCGCCAGGTGGACCGGCCCGCGCTCCTCCCCCGGCCGACGCCTTGTCGCCCGTCCGGCCCAGCCTGACCAATGCCCGGGTGGAACCGGGCCTGCAGCTGGCCACGTGAGGGCTGGCTTTCCTCCGACGTTGCCCCTTCCCGCAGCTTCTGGACTGCAGTGGGGTGGGGGCACCACACGTGGAGATTTTTCCGGAGGAGAGAGGATTCTATCGGGGCACAGAGAATCTTTTTTCTGCACGTTAGCTGGAGCTGCCGGAGGAACAGTGCTGGCTAATGGAGACCTATTTTTGTACAAAGAACCCTTGACTTGGGGCACAATAAAGATGATCTGGACCCCCGCCCCCACTCTGGAGTTTTACATGCTGGCCAAGGCCTGGACACGGGCAGCCCCTAAGGGGCGGGGTCCCTGGCATGAGGTCCCCATGACTGCCCTCCCTGGGGTTGATTTGTGGGCGGTGCTGCTCTTTTCTGGAGAAGCCTCTTAAGGAGCATGAACTTTATAAATCAGTCAGTTCTGTTTACCAGTGGCTCCTGTCACCTACTTCTCAGGTGACGGCCAGACCAATGTAGTCATTACTCCATGAACCCTGCCACCTCCTCTGTACGGTGGGTCTGGGGTGAGATCTGGAGCCCAGCCAGGCCGCTGATAGCAGAGCCACCGGGACACCTTGTGAGGCTGGGGACGCCCTGCAGGAGGAGGTGGCTGGTGGGTGGTCCAGGCAGGGCTACTTGCTGGCTTGGAAGCTGAAGTCTGGAGGCTGCTGAGCCATCCCCGGGGCTGGGGTAAGTGCTGGGTGTGGGGCCAGGCTGAGCTGGTCTGACCAGAGAGCAGTGGCTGTGGGGCTGAGGGCACGGGTTCCCCGGCAGGCCACAGCTCAGAGCTCCACTGCCACTGAAGGTGGGCAGCCCAGGGCAAGTGGCTTAACGCAAATGGAACTGACCAGACCACCTTAGGGGCCTCTGGGGACGTTGGTGAGAGGTGGCTGGAGGCTGCCCCCTCACTGGCTTTGGGCTTTGCCAGCACTGGGGAGGCCCTGCAGGCCTGTGCTCACCTGAATCCTGAGAGCGGCTCTTGAAAGGAACACAGAAGGCTTGGAAGCTTTGCGCCAGGCTCCCTCCATCTGGAGAACCTAGCACCGGGATATTACACGGCTCCACCTTTGACCCAGGGCCCAGGAGGCTTTGAAGTCTCCCTGTGCCCAAAGCTCCCTTTTTAGTGCCCCGGTGGAGGAGGAGTTGATGGGGATCCCCAGTTGCTTTAGGGTGCAGAGGCACCCTCTTCCTTCAGAAGGGGGTGGCTGGGGCAGAGCCGTTGGAGAACAGGGAGGTGGGAGCAGCTGGGGATTTCACAGAGTGGGTGGCTCCTGAGTAACCATGGCAACAGGACACACAGCCTGCCTGGGGTGCATGGGTCTCAAATGCCAGGCTGGCTGGGTCCCCTATTAACAGGGGAGCAGGGGTGCCCAGGGCTCCTCTCACTAGCTGCTGGGTGGGGGCGCCTCAGCAGCCAGTCAGCTGAGTCTGTAGTGGGCATCTGATGAGGACCAGGCTCAGCTGGGGTCAGTAGACCTGCAGGCCTCAGGGAACTGGCCTTGGCCAAGGGACAGGAGGGGCACGTTGCCATGGTCACCCAGGGAGGGCCATCCCAGAACCTTCTCCCAGAATCCACCCCCAGTTGGTGGCCTCCCTGAGCCGCAGGACCTGAGCTCTCCCCAGGGTGCCACACCTTGACTGCAGGGAAAGACCCAGGGCCGCCAGGACCACAGGGGGCTGTTGGATGTGAAGCGGGTCGGGGGGAAAACCGTGGAAGAACAGGGCAGAGGAAAGAACCCACCGGTGCGAAGCGGACAAAACTCTGCGAAGGGGAAGCAGTGCTGTCATTTTGTTCTCCCCAGATTGTATTATGGAAAATTCCCACTACTGCAAAAGCACCAAGGCCCTTGTTGGGCATTCTCCGTGCCAGGACTTAGGATGCATCCGTGTGCTACACAGGCCCATGCTCATGGAGCCTGGGGCCTAGTGGTGGGCACAGGAGCCAACCTTTGTACAGTCTGGCCGGTGGAGGGTGCACTGGACCCCGGGGCAGGGGGGCGGGAAGCCTTCAGTACCAGCTCCGAGGCCCTTCCTGCCCCATCCATCTCCCACCCCATCCCCGCATTGCGAAGTAAATCCCAGCCTGAATCCTTTCACCCACAGTGTTTCCTGTGTGCCTCTAAAGGAAACCCAAGTGCCATCATCGTCCCTCAAAGGAACCACTGTTCTTTCATATCACCAGGGACCCAGCCAGTGGCAGTCCTGGGTCTCATGGTTTTGTACAGGTGGCTTTATAGAATTGGGATCCACCCCAGCTCCACACGTGAAGTTTGCTCAGCAGGTCTCTTGAGCATCTTGTAAGCAGTTTTCCCCCAGTGTCTTCACGAAGAAGCGGGGCTGTTTGTTCCCTTGGGCCCCCGTGTGCATGGTGGTATTGATGGCACCGTTCTGGGTGTTGTTACTGAGAACCTGTCCCTGTGTTTCCTGTAGGACAGGGTATGGGGTGCTAGAAGTGGTCCTTTGATCAAGTTTGGGGTGAACCGCAAATGGGGTTGACACCAAACCCACCTAATGAGTGTGACAGAGATACCAAGACGGATCCCTTCCAGGGAGACGAGGGACTCCCTTTCCGAGTTTACCTCGAGAACTGCCTGGTAAGCTGTGGAACCTTCCGTAGACGGCACAGCAATCTAGGCCCCGGCTACTCCCTCACCGTCGCTGGGGGAGGTTGCGCCGTGGTCTGGGGGCTCCCCAGCCGTGGCCAGCTCCTTCCGGAGTATTTCTTTCTCACCGCCACTTCCCCGAAAGCACCCCTTACCCAGGTCATCCCATGTGACACCTGCCGCTCAGAGGATGCAGTGTGGCTGGACTGCACCTTGCCGGGAGATGGGACTTACGGTGGCCATGTAAGTTGCTGTTCGCGGTGGGAATATTTTTGAGAGTGGAAAGGGCTGTGGATGGCAACCAGGACCGCGGGCGAGTGTCCCGGCGCGCTGGGCTGCTGCTGGATGCGTTATGAAGGCCCTCCCCACACTCATTTGCGCAGTGCCCACTGGAGCTGGAGAGCCTGAAGTCATGGGCGAGCCTGTCCCACCCGCCTTATTTTGCCGTCGTTGTTTTGTTTTAGGCTCTCAGCAGCCTAAAGTCATGGCTTTAGTTTCTGTCTCTAGGGATAAGCAGAAAACAGGGATGAGGAAGGGGCCTCCTGACCCGACCAGAAACAGAAACTAAGAATCCATCACTGTGTTCTCTCCCGTGGACATCATACAGCTTGAACATGATGAGAACTGAGATTTAAACCCTGGACTCCTCCACTTCTACATCCTTGCCGTGTTCACACCTTCCAGGCAGTGAGGCTGAGCCTGGTGGCTTCCCTGGGGAGGATATCCTTAGCAGTTCAGCATTTGAGATTGGTGAGCCAGGAGAGAGCCTCACCTGGCCCAGGTGCCAGCCTGTCCTGGGCTCCGCTGTGGGGGCAGCAGGGCTCTGCTGTGAGCCCATGGTCTGGGCCTCGTCCCCACCTGGAAGTTAGAAACTGATTCCATGCAGAAGGCGATCGTGATGTGACGTTAACGGTGCTAAAATGTAAAGTTTTTTCTTTCTTCTATGGTCAGCCTCTTGACTGTTTTATGTTTCTTCTTTTGTACTCACTAATGCCATTCCGAGAAAGATTAAGCATTTAAATGACTCGCATGAATTTAGTCATCCATCTTCATATGATGTGATGCCAGTTTAGCATGCAAGCCCAAGGGTATTTGACTTCTACGTGGAATCACTGGAATGGCACAGTGTGTGTTTTGTCCTGGCACAGATGTGTGTATTTCATTGCCACTAGAACAGTGGAAACTGCACAACTGTTTCACTCCTTGATGCAGGTTGGCTTCACCAGCACCCTCCGCCTCCTGGTCGCCGATGGGTGAGGAAGGAGGAAAAGGAGGCGCTGTCGGTACACCCATCAGCGAGAGTGCTCCGCTAACGCCTGAGTAAGAAAGGACACGATGGCTTCCTGGGTCCTGCATGTTCATCGGGACACCACCGGCTTCCTTCTGCATCCTCAGCAAGTTTGGATTTGAATGGAAAACGTGGCAGGTCGGTGGTCACCAGCACCCGGCTTGCTCAGGCATAGATGTGACATGCTGCCTTGTACTGCTGTGGGTCCCTGGCACCTTCTCTGCGTGGCCTGGCGTCTGAGCGCGTCGTGGACGTGGTGCTGGAGTGGGGAGACGCACACATGCTGCCTGGAACGGGCTCTCCTTACATGAGTGCCGCCGTCTGCGTTGGCCTGTACCCGCAGAACAAGTTCAAAGATGGAAGTATCAGCGTTCCAAAGGCCAGGCGCGGTGGCTCACGCGTGTCATCCCAGTGCTTTGGGAGGCTGAGACCGGAGGATCGCTTGAGCCCAGGAGTTCAAAGACCAGCTTGGGCAACATTGGGAGACCCTACCTCTAATAAAAATAAAGCAAAACAAATAATAAAAAAAGAACTTCAAGACAGTAGTAGCAGAACATTACACCAAGGTTGGGGACCTGTTCATGGTGGAGCCTTCGTGTCCTACGGTGGTGACACCCATTCCGGTGTCACCCCTCCGGGCCGGGACAGGGGCATCATGCATAGAGGCCCCTCCACATCACCTAATCCCTGCCCCAGCCCAAGACAAGCGGAATAGCCATATGGCGATCCCCCAGAGAGAAACAAGCTTGTTCCACTCAATACACAAAGGGACGGGGCAGGGAGGCTTGCTGTGAGCAGGGTCCCCAAGGTGGCCTTCAAAGACCTTCAGAGACCTTCAGTCATCCCAGATACCTCAGCTGGGGCCAGAGGTGATTGGCCATCCGGAGAGGCTGGGCCTGAGGCTGGGAGAGGCATTGGAGAGGCTGCCTCAACCCCACGTCCTCAGCTGTAGCATGCACAGCCCACAGGGGTTGCAGAGGGGACCCTTTTCCCAGCAGCGAGGACACGGGGAGGGGTGGTTTCTTTGGGGCCACACCCTCAGTCTTTGTTCTCATCAAAATGGGGAGTGGGGCCAGGTGGGCCCAGCAGCGTGCCCGATGCTGTCCTGAGCCTGTGGGCTGTGAGCTGGCCTTGAGCTTTTTGGAGGGTCTCAGGGATGGCCCAGTTCCACCCGGGAGCCCACAGAAGCTGGGAAGGACCCTGAAGGCTCGGAGGGCAGGGCAGCAGGTGGAGGGTGGGGGCTGCCCACCAAGAGGGGCCACTCCTCTGAGTCCCCTCTGAGGGGTGTCACTCCGACTTCCAGATGCAGGCAAGCCCAGTGACCTGCCCGAGGCCCACAGGTATCCAGAGGTGCCAGGTTTAAACCCGCAGTACAGAGCTGGACACGCCTCACACCGATGTCTCCCTTGGTTCTGCCTGGAGGGGGCACTGTTCTGGCTGTTTTCCACTGAAGTGGGGGGTCTTGTCTGCAAACCAGTGAGACAGAAGCCAGCATTTAGGCCAGGCCTCCTGACACCCCCAACCTCCCAAAGGGTGG